TTCTAGTATAGAAGTGAGCTTGACTGAATACAGCCTGAACAGGTGGGGTTTTATAGCCAAGGAGAAAGATCTGCCGGGGCACTGGTGAATGGAAAGTTACTAAGAGTAGACATCAAGTCTGGGGAGATTCTAAGTCAACCCGCCTAATATTCTTGCCATAGGCAGGCCAAGGTCATCAGTTATCATCTGGTGGATAATAGGGGTGAGGAGTTTGATTAGATAGCAAAGGTGGGGAACTCTTGCTAAATGGACTTAGGATTCTTGCTAAAACTTGATTCTACATGGAAAAACATGTATGAGCAATGTATGAGGATTCAGAGGAGCCTTGCTAAAATTTGGTCAAGCAAAGAATCTTTTTCATCTCTCCCCTGTACTTCATTGTTTTCTTATGGTCTTTAACTATCATTGCACTTACCCTTTTGAATTGTAGTTCCCCAGTGCCATCTCTGAGTCATCTGCTACAACGTGAGTTCCTTAAGTTGAGCACTATTTTTATTTTTATATTTCCTGTACCCCTCTTGTGCTTATTATGGAATAGGGACTCTGTTAATATTAGTGGGATGATGACCGTTCTTGCTCTAGAATGATATGGAACTAAGTGCTTTTAATAAATACATATAATTTGGACTTGGTATATAGGGAAAGAAAGAGTTAAAAATGACTGAGTTTTCTGTGTGGTCCTATTTTTTCAATATAATGTATATCTCAAATACAGTGTCATTGCTTTTTCATCCTTTCTAGGACAACCCAATGAACATGAACTAAGAAAAATGAAATAAGTATTAATATATAATTGCCATTTTGGAATAAGATATCAGTGTGACTAAACACTTTGTTATTTGTTTGCAGGGCTGACTTAACCATTTTTCTTTTGGTGTGTCTCCCCCTTTTTTCTGACCCTTTTGTGCCAGTTTGTATAGATACATTCATTTTCTTATTTTGATACCTATAATTAAGGTATGCAGTCCAATTTGAAGAAATCATTATTCGTCATTTAAAAAAGTCCTGGTAATTCATCGTTACCAATTCACTTTTCCCGCTTTGTATGATTATGCTGTTGTTTGAAAATCATGACCGTTGTCGTCTTTTAAAAAAAATCCCTGTTATCATGTGCTAAGAATAATGGTTCCATATACAATTTTGTTTGCATGATTACATTTAAACTAAATGCTACTTTTTTGTTAAGATTCTCTTCCCAGTATTTTCTCTTCTCAAGGTAATTTCATATCAAGTCTATTATGGCCCTTTCCTGGGCATTTTCATCTCCTACTCTGTCTCTTATATACCTAGAACACTGGCTGTGTGAAGCATTTCGTGCGGAGAGGAGAGGTGGTAGATAGATAAAACAAGTAATATGTGCAAGGCACTGGGACATGAGATTACCATGCTAACTACTTGACTGATGGGATGATGTTATTCAGATTTTCAAGTTTAAAATATTTTTTAGTGCATAATTAGCCTAGATCAGAATAGTATTCAGATAAAATAACTATTTCTCCAGTTATTGAATGGCATTATTTCCTCTCATGGTTATTTTAAAATTCAGAGAAAGACAAGCCATCATTCTCTATAGTTTCAAGGTGATTTACATGATGAACTCTAATCTTGGTATTGATTAGTATCTTTTTTAATTTCTTTTTTTCTTCCCCCCCCTTTTTTTGACATGAGGACTTACTGTTTTTATTTAATGAATTCTTTTTTAAAAAGATGGTTTTTCTCTACTGTACTCTTAATCTTCCTTTTCTCTTTGTCCCATCCTAGTAACTGGGGCAATAATCTCTTGTGTATCCTTCTATAGTTTTTTCCATGATCATATAAACATATATGGAAACATAATCCCCCTCCTTCCTATATACACAGTCATGAGGATTTTGAAGTTATTATTTTATAAAATGGAATCATATTTTATGCTTCTTGCCTTTATCATGAAAACATACATTGTGAAAAATCTATTCAAGCCACACACTTTTACACTAATTTTTTTTATTGAGTTTCCTAATATTCTGCTCCATGGATTGTACTACCATATTTTTTTTTTTTATTTTTCTACTCTTGAATTTATATTTCTTACTACTGCATTGTACTTTTAGGAGTACATTGCTGGGTTGAAAGGTTGACATTTCGAGCAATTATGTAACATCATCCCTTTTCACCATCATCTAATCAGCCCTAGATGTTATCCCTCGTAATTTTGCTAGCTGAATGGTATAAAATGATATCACATAATTTTAATTTGTATTTTCTTCAGTGCTAGGTATTACCATCCTTTCACATGTTTATTAATTATTATTACTCATGTATTTGCTCTATTATAAGTAACTTACATCTATTTTTTGCCATTTTCATTTTTATTTTGCATTTTTAATCCTGATTTTTTATTATAAAATATTTAAAGTGATACTTTGCATAGAAGAATATAATACATATCAGTGTAGTCACTGGACAACTTTTCAAATGTATTATTTTGCCATTTTCAGATTTTCGTCTGATTCATTGTTGTGATGAATTACATTAATTTTTCCAATTTAGCTATCTCTGCTGTTGTAAGATAAATGAACTTTGTCTTAATTTTCTTTAAAGAAACATTATGGGATTTGGTTTGCTGTTAATTAAAATGTTGAGGATTTTTCTATCTGTTTGTTTATGATGTCTGGCTGGTTTTGGTGTCATGGTCAAACTAAATTCCCAAATTATGTCAATATCCCTTTTCTCTCTTTCTTTTTTCTATAATAGTATGCCGAAGATTAGAATTGTCTTTCATGTTTGGTTGAACTCACCTATAAATTTCGTCCAGGCCTAATTGTGCTTTTTCCTTTCTTCTTGTTATTTCTTTCTCTTTCCCCCCTCTTCCTTTCTTCTTCATTATTTTTTTAAGTGGATATATTATAGTTCTTTTGAAGTTTTTTGTTCTTGAATCCATTTTTTAAAGTTATATATGTTTTTAAAATTGTCTGTCTACATTTTCAAATTTATTGGCATTGTTTATTCTTTTTGTCTTCATAACCTATAATTATACTTTTAAAAATCATTCGTGTTTATCTGTTTTTTTTCTTGATCAGATTTGACAAAAGCTTGTTTATTTTGTTGGTCCTTGCAAATAATCAGCTTTTATTTTGTTGATTCTCTTTATTCTGTTAACTTCTATGCTGTCACATTCTTTCAGCTGTCTTAGAGATTACTCTGTTTTTTAATGTATTGAGTTAAATAACTTAGATCATTCTGTTATTTTTCTGATATAATCAGATTAAAGCTACAATTTTCCCTCTTAAGTATCAGTTCAGTTATATTCCATAATTTTACTTTTATTTGTATTTTTTAAAGATTTATTGATTTTAGAGAGAGAGTGTGGGGGGAGGGGCAGAGGGAGAGCAGCTTCAGACCGACTCCACGCTGAGCACAGAGCCCAACACAGGGCTCAGTCTCACAACCCATGAGATCATGACTTGAACTGAAACCAAGAGTCGGCCACTTAACCTAGTGAGCCACCCAGGTGCCCCATTCCATAATTTTTAATAGATGTTATTAATCATCATTATAAACGCTCTTTAGTTTCTCATAATTTCTCCTATGACCTGTGAGATATTTAGAAGTGTGTGTAAATACAAGAATGAATGCAAGGATACAGTTTAAAAGTTGGTACTTTTATATGTAACTTACTGAAATTACATATCTATGAGTAAACAGTTGTGATAATTTTAATAAAAATTTTAAATCTTTGTTTTCAGTGTGTCAAGTTGGTGTCATTTTTGTCTGCAGTGGAGAAGAATGAAAACATTACTAGAATAAATATACTTTGGTTTTTTTGAGGGGTATGTTTTTAAATATACAGGGTTAAAATTTTTTTTAAAGTATTCATTTCTGATTTAGTTGAAGTATAGTTAGAGAACATGGAATGTGTGATTATTCTCTAGGACTTTGGGAGACTTATTCTTAGATTCCAAATGATTGGGGTGTGTCTGTGTATATATGTGTGAATGTTCTCTATGTCCTGGGAAATAAAGTGCATTAATTAACTGTGTGGCTTTGCTGTTTCATATGCTTTTTAAAAAGTTCAGTAGCCAGGGCGCCTGGGTGGCTCCGTTGGTTAAGTGACTGCCTTCAGCTCAGGTCATGATCCAGGAGCCCCGGGATCAAGTCCCGCGTCAGGCTCCCTACTCAGCGGGGAGCCTGCTTCTCCCTCTGACCCTCCCCCCTCTCATGCTCTCTCTCTCTGTCTCATTCTTTCTCTCTCAAATAAATAAATAAAATCTTCAAAAAAAGGTTCAGTAGCCTTCAAACCTTTGTTAATGTAGCTCCTAAAATATCTTTGAAAAACAATCACATACCCTTGGAATTTAAGTTGACTTTTAAAATTTTTCATTGTAAGTTTAAATAGTGCAGAAGATATAGGTACTAGTGCACTGTGTGAAATTTGAATTTAAAAATAAAACTGTTGTGCTATTTTCTTAAATGTATCCAGTGACCTCTAAATATTTTAGTTGATACTCTCATTATCAATTAAAACCACACACGAATTTGAATCGACCTTTCTGTGCAAGACAACTAAAAAAATTGGATAAAATGTTTTAAAAAAAACCTGCTTGAAAGAGTTCCAGCAATCATATTTTAAAATGTAGGGAAGAAAGATTTGATTAAGAATTCAGTTGTGAGGGGCACCTGGGTGGCTCAGTCGTTAAGCGTCTGCCTTCAGCTCAGGTCATGATCCCAGGGTCCTGGGATCGAGTCCCGCATCGGGCTCCCTGCTCAGCGGGAAGCCTGCTTCTCCCTCTCCTGCTCCCCCTGCTTGTGTTCCCTCTCTCGCTGTGTCCCACTCTGTCAAATAAATAAAGTCTTAAAAAAAAAAAAATTCAGTTGTGAGCCATGTTGAACCAAAAGATGTCAACCGTTACTGCATTTGTGCTGATTAAGAGTTGTTATTTCAATGCCATTACAAATTATGGATGTTATATAAATGTACTTGTTACTGTCTGTAATAATTTCTTTTTCTCCTTCTTTCCTAGGAATCACACCTGTGTATCATAGCATGTTTGCTTTAATGAGTGAAACAGAAAGGATTTGGTATCCGCCCAACCATGTCTTCCATATAGATGAATCAACCAGGCACAATGTACTCTACAGAATAAGGTACTTTCTCCAATAAAGTGACTCATTTAATGGTGAAAGGCAAAGTGAGAGAAATCAAACATATTTTTAAATTGCAAGGTACTTTATAATAGAGACCAGAACTTCATTTAAGACATTTTGTCCACCAGAGGACATGTTTTTACATATTTTTTCACTAGAATGCTCTGAGCTTTTCTGGTGGGATGCTACTTTACCACTTATGATTATAATTAAATTTAAAAATGATGAGAACGGCCTTTACTAACAAAATCCCAAATGTTTGGAATATTGTTAGTTTCCCAGGAAATTCAGTGTTTTGTGCAATAAAATATAATCTCACATCTCTTTTTAAGAATTTTTTTAGAGTTGAAGTGAAGGAAAGATACGATTTTGTCAGTGTTTATTTACAGGCTCAAATTATTAATTCATTTCATAATTTATGGAAATACGTTATACCAATTTAGAGAAATCTAGTACTTTTCCACTCAAAAGGATAGAACAAAGAAATAAGTTTCACCTGTGGCTCTTATGAAATAGATTCATTCCATGCAGAGTCAGTGTTGCATAGTAAAAAAGCACATGGACTCATTCATGATCTTAGAGAGGACAGAAAAGGAAGCCTTAAAAAACTAAGACTCAAGAGAAACATCCTTACCATGGTAAAGGGTATTTACCAAAAGCAGGTAGCAAATAATATTCTCAAATGCTAAGATGTTAGATCAATCTCTGTAAAATCAAAAAACAAGACAGAAAACAAAGATAGCCACCACCACTGCTGCTATTTAGGATTTTAGTGGAGTTCCTAACAAGTACAGTAAGACAAGAAGAATGAATAAAATATTTAATAATTGAGAACAAAGGGGCTCCTGGGTGGCTCAGTCGTTAAGCATCTGCCTTCAGCTCAGGTCATGATCCCCGGGGTCCTAGGATCAAGCCCCGTGTCGGGCTCCCTGCTCGGCGGGAAGCCTGCTTCTCCCTCTCCCACTCCCCCTGCTTGTGTTCCCTCTCTCCCTGTGTCTCTGTCAAATAAATAAATAAAATCCTTAAAAAAAATAATTGAGAACAAAGAAACAAAGAGTCATTATTTGGAGATGATAAGATTGTTAACATAGACAATGTAAACAAACTTATAGGCATCAATAATAAGCATTCAAAAGAGTGCTGGGTCTATATGATCAGTATGTTAAAATATCAGCTGTTTCTATACTCCACAAACAAACAGAAATTTAAAATAACTAGTAGCAACAAAAAATGCAAAGTACCTAGGATTAAATCTATCCAAAATTATGTAAGACGATCTGTGCAGGTTTTAAGACTTTACAAAGTTGCATTTAAAAGAAGCATGCTAACATGCTACATATGGTTGACAAAATATCAGTATCTTAATAAGAATATTTTCTTTATCACTTTCTGTAATGACTATACTTTCTGCAATTAGCAAGTGTATCTTTTGATTTGAAAAGGTCTGTGTAGCAGAGGTCTACAGTCTTTTTCTGTAAAAGGCCAGTAGTAAATATTTTAGGCTCTATGATCTCTGTTTTAACTATTCAGTTCTGTTATTATAGTGTGAAAACAGCCATGAATAAGTAAATGAATGGGCATGATTGTGTTCCAATAAAACTTTATTTATAAAAACTTAACAGTGGACCAGAATGGGGCTGTGAGGCAGAGTTTGCTGACCTCTTCTTAAGAATTAAAAATTGCTTCTCATCAAATTCATGAATTTTTCCTATTCTTCATGCTGTCTATAAGAGGCACACTTTACCTTAAAAGACACAACTAAACTGAAAGTAAAGGATTGAAAAAGCTATAACAGGCCCTCAGTAACCAAAAAGGAGCTGGAGCAGCTATATTAATATCAGACAAGATTGACTTGAAAGATATAAATTGTTATTAGAGACAAAGAAGGGACACTTTATAATGATAAAAGAGTTAATGAGTCAGGAAAACATAATATTTGTTTATAATTGTTATAATTTGTATCTGATGACAGCTGCACAATTCATTAAGCCAACAACTGACAGAATTGTAGGGGAAAATAGATAATTCCACAATAGTAGTTGGAGATGTCAATACATGACTTTCTTTAGAAATGGATAGGACAACTGGACAAAAGATCAGCAAGATAAAGGAAGACTTGAGCAACACTATAAGCCAGCTAGACATGCTTATGTAGAATACGCTACCCAGCAGCAGCACAATCACATTCTCCAGGATAGACCACACGTTAGTCTACAAAATGAGTCTCAGTAAGTTTTAAAAGATTGGAATCATGCAAAGTATGTTTTTTGACCACAATGGAATTAATTTAGAAATCATTAACAGAAGGAAAACTGGAAAATTCACTAATACATGGTAATTAACAACATTTCTAAATAACTACTTGGTCAAAGAAAATAATCACAAGGGAAAATAGAAAATACTTTGATAGGACTAAAAATGAACATACCAACTTATAGTTTGCAGTTTAAACAGTGCTTAGATGAGAATTCATAGCTGTGCACACCTATATTAAAAAAAAAGGAAAAAGTTCTCAAATCAAGAGCATTCTACCTTAAGAAAGTAGAAAAAGAAGAGTAAATAAAAAAGCAAGTCAAGGAAGGAAATAATAAAGATCAGAGTAGGGTGGCTCAGTCTGTTAAGCGTCTGCCTTCGGCTCAGGTCATGATCCCAGGGTCCTGGGATTGAGCCCTGCATCGGGCTCCCTGCTCAGCTGGGAGCCTGCTTCTCCCTCTGCCTACCGCTCTCTCACTTGCTGTCTCTCTCTCAAATAAAGAAATAAAATCTTAAAAAAAGAAATTAAAAAAAATAAAGATCAGAGTAGAAATAAATGAAAAAGAGAAAGGAAAACAACAGAAAATCAAGAAACCAAAAGTTGGTTCCTTGAAAAGATCAACACTATTGATAAATCTTTAGCTAGATTGATCAAGATAAAAAGAGAGAAGCTTAGGGGTGCCTGGGTGGCTCAATCGTTAAGTGTCTGCTTTTGGCTCAGGTCATGATCCCAGGGTCCTGGGATCGAGCCCCACATCGGGCTCCCTGCTGGGTGGGAAGCCTGCTTCTCCCTCTCTCACTCCCCCTGCTTGTGCTCCCTCTCTCTCTGTGTCTCTCTCTGTCAAATAAATAAATCTTAAAAAAATGAAAAGAGAGAAGCTTAAATTATTAAAGTCAGGAAGAGAGAACATCAATCACTGTGACATTACAGAAATAAAGATTATAGGGAACAATTGAATGCCAACAAATTACATAACCAAAATGAAGTGAACCATTGCCTAGAAAGAGAAAACTATAGGAACTGCCAAAAGAAGAAACAAAGTCTGGTGGACCTCTCATAAGTACAGACATTGAATTAATAATTTAAAAAAATTTCCCACAAAGAAAAGCTCAGGCCCAAGTGGCTTCAATGGTAAATTCTATCAAACAAAGAAAAATTAATACCAGTTATTCACAAAAAATGGAAAGGAACACTTCCTAACTCATTCTGTGAGTTCAGTGTTAACCTAATACCAAATCCAGACAGGCATCCAGAAGAAATGAAAACTATAGGTCAGTATCCCTTATGAATACAGGTATAAAAGTCTTCAAAATACTAGCAAGCCAAATCTAGCAATATATATAAAAAGGATTAAATACCATGACCAGATGGGATTTATTCTAAGAAATACAAGGTTGCTTTAATATCCCCAAATCCATCACTATAATGTACAGTATTAGTTAAAGGACCCAAACCGCATGATCATCTCAATAGAAACAGAAAAAACATTTGACACAAAAAATACTCAACACAATAGGAATGGAAAGGAACTTCCTCAGTCTCACAAAGTGCTTCTACAAAAATCCCAAAGCTAACATTATCCATGATGGCCAAAGACTGATTGCTTTCTACCAGGGATCTGCAACAAGACAAAGATAACTATTCTTACCACTTCTATTTAACACTATACTATAGAGTCTAGCCAGGGAAAAGAGAAAGAAATAAAAGGCATATTGGAAAAGAAGTAAAACAATCTTTATTTACAGATGATATGATCTCGTATATAAAAAATCCTAAGGAGGGGCACCTGGGTGGCTCAGTTGGTTGAGTATCTGACTGTCGTCGATTTTGGCTTGGGTCATGATCTCAGAGTCCCAGGATCGAGCCCAGGGTTGAGCTCCACACTCACTGGGGAGTTTGCTTAAGGATTCTCTCTCTCTGTCCATCCCCCCACTCTCTCTCTCTCTCTCTCAAATAAATCTTTTAAAAAAATCCTAAGGAATTAATATAACTATTAGAACTAAAGAAATGAGCTCAGTCAGTTGCAGGATAGAAGATCAATATACAAAAATTGGTTGTATTTCTATACACTAGCAGTAAACAATGCAAATGTGAAATTAAAACAGTTCCGTTTACAATAGCATTTAAAGAAGTACTTAGGAATAAGCCTCACAAAAGAAGTGCAAAAACTGCATTGAGAAAAGCAAGATATCATTGAAGGAATTTATTTTTTAAAGATTTTATTTATTTATTAGAGAGGGTATGCAAGCAAGAGCATAACCTGGGGGAGCAGCAGAGGGAGAGGGAGAAGCAGACTCCCCACTGAGCAGGGAGCCTGACGTGGGGCTCAATCTCAGGATTCTGAGATCATGACCTGAGTCAAAGGCAGCCGCTTAACTGACTGAGCCACCCAGGCGCCCCATTGAAAGAATTTAAAGAAACACTTATCTAAATGGAAAGATACCTCATGTTTATGGATCAGAAGACTTAATATTGTTAAGTGGAAATGCTCTTCAAATTGATCTGTATATTCAGTACAGTCTCTATTGAAATCCTGTCTTTACTACAGAAATTGACAAGTTGGTGGTAAATTCATATAAAAAATCAAAGGGACTTGAAATAGCAAAACAATCTTGAAAAAGAACAAAGTTGGAAGATTTATACTTCCTAATTTCAAAACTTACTCCACAACTCTAGTAATCAAGAAAGCGTGGTACTGTCTTAAGGGTAGGTACATAGATTAATAGAATAGAACTAAGAGTGCAAAAATAATCCCTGATATTATGGTAATTGATATTTGACAGAGTGCTAAGACAGTTCATGGGGAGGAATGCTCTTTTCAACAAATGCTGCCGGGACAACTGAATATACACACGTATAGTAGTGAAGTTAGATCACTAACTCACACTGTATACAAAACATTTACTTAAAATGAATCATAGATCTAAATCTAAGAGCTAAAACTGTAAAACAGAAGACAATACAGGAGTACATCTTTGTATACTTAGGAGTAGCCAATGGTTTCTTCAGTATGGTACTGAAAGCTCAAGTGACACAAGAAAAATAGATTAATTGGGATTCATCAAAATATATGTTTGTGCATCAAAGGATGCTGTTAAGAATGTGAAAAGACAGCCCACAGAATAGAAGAAAATGTTTGTAATCATATCTAATAAAGGTTTTATATTTGGAATACCTAAAGGACTCTTGTTCAACAGTACAGTGACAGATAACCCAATGAAAACATGGGCAAAGGGTTTGAATAGCATTTTTCTCAATAAGACCTACAAATAGCCAGTAGGCGCATGAAAAGATGCTCAACATTATTATTCTTTAAAGCAATGTAAATCATAAACACAATAGGATACCAGTTCACCCATTAGGATGACAAAGGTATAAAAGATGGACAATAACAAGTTATGAATTTGTCAAATTATCACTTTTTAAGTAGAGCACAGGGGGCTAGATAGCCATGCTTCAGCAACAGAGCACAAGAGAAACCAAACTAGAGAAGTTTATTACTTGCAGGTCCTGGAGGAAGTGCCCCGCAGGCCTCCAGGGGCCATATGGGGAGATCAAGGCGGAGTACAGAGAGAGACACAGGACCCAGGGCACATGCCTTTACTAGGGTTTGGGGTTCCAAATTCAGTTCAAGCCAAAAGAGCTGGTATTTGATAAGCCACATGGGAGTCTTATTGAAGGGACTTCAGTAAGGGTTAGGTGCTGGGAGACAGGGGAGACTGTTGGGAAGTTGTATCAGAAACTGATATTTGCTTCTGACTCAGTGGGCTGTTCTCTAGGGCATGCACTTGCATGAGGGGCTAATGTCAGTTTCAGGTCACTGCAGTCCTCTTGGCCAAACAAAACAGGCGCCAGGGCAGCAATACGAAAGACTAACTTAGCTAAACTCTCCACATGTGTTGGCACAGATGTGAACTATTGAGATGCTCATATGTTGCTGTTGGAGATGTAAACTAGTACAGCCACTTTTTAAAATAGTTTCACTGTTCCTCAAAAAGATGAACATAGAATTAACATATGATCCATCAATTCCATCCCTAAGTATGTATGCAGGAGAAATGAAAACACACACACACACACACACACACACACACACATGCCCTTGTACACACTGTTCTTCGCAGCATTATCCACAATAGCAAAAAGATGGAAACAACCCAAATGTCCATCAAGTGATGAATGAAGAAGCAAAATGTGGTTTATCCATACAAGGGAATATTAACTGGGCAATAAAAAGGAACAAAGTGCTAATACTTGCTATAACGTGGATAGTCCTTGAAAACATGCTTAGTGAAAGAAGGTAGGAAAGGCCACAATATTATGTGATTCCACTTATATAAAATGTTCAGAACAGGCAAATTTAGAGAGAGACTAGTGGGAACTTAGGGCTGGGGAGTAGGTGGGGTGATTTGGGTGTGACTGCTGTTAGGTATGGAGTTTCTTTTAGTGGGGATGAAAATGTTCTAAAATTAGATTGTGGGGATGTTTGTATAGTGCTAGGAAGATACTAAGAAACATTGAATTGTATGCTTTAAATGGGTGAACTCGAAGGTATGTGAATTGTATCTCAATAAAGTTGTGAATAAACAAAGCAATATAGAATATTTTTTGTTTCTTTGAAGGACAAGTTTTTAACCTATTTTATCCATTCATTCACTTGTATTGAAGTGTAGTTGACATATTATATTAGCTGCAGGTAGATGACACAGTGATTTGACGATTGTATACGTTATAAAATGCTCACCATGGTGAAGTGTAGTTGCCATCTGTCACCATCCATTTATTACAATATTATTGACTATGTTCTCTATGTTGTACTTTTCTTCCCCATGACTTATTTATTTTAAAACTGGAAGTTGGTACTTCTTAATTCCCCTTCACCTGTTTCCCCTATTCTCCCCTCCCCCAACAACCACCTGTTTTTTTCTCTGTATTTATTAGTCTGTTCCTTTTTAACTTTTTTGTTCGTTTTGCTTTTTTAGATTCCACATTAAGTGAAATATGTTATTAATCTTTCTCTGCCTTATTTCAGTTAGCATAATATCCTTTAGGTCTACCCATGTTGTTGTGAATGGCAAGATTTCCTTTTTATGGCTGAGTAATATTCCATTGTATATATACACCACATTTTCTTTATCTTTCCATCATTTGATGGACACTTAGGTTGCTTCCGTATCTTGGCTATTGTAAATTATGCTGCAGTGAGCATAGGAGTGCCTATATCATTTCAAATTGGTGTTTTCATTTTCTTCAGATAAATACCCAGTAGTGGAATTCTACACCCAGTTGTATGGTAATATTATTTTTAGTATTTTGAGAACCTCCATACTGTTTTCCATGTGGCTGTGCCAATTTACAGTCCTACCAGTAGTGCATGGAGAGTCTCTTTTCTCCACATCTTTGCCAGCACTTATTATTTCTTTTTGATACTAGCCATTCTGACTGGTATGAAGTGATATCTTGTGATAACTTCCATTTCTTAACAGAAGAAGCAGTTTTTTGTATTTGTACCCAATTAGTATTTTCAGCTTAGTATTTATAACTTTACTGGTATTACTGGATTAATATTAAAAAATTTTGTTAATATTTTATTTTTATATTTCTCTGTTTCCTATTGCTTCTGCATTCTGCATATAGAAGCAGGCAGCATATTGATTTTACACTTACGTTTCTTGAATTTTCTGTCTACATTATCATGGTCTTATCCAGATTTTCTTTTGTCCCCAACTTGCATTTAACGCTGTCACCTGTGTTTTCTGGTTATGGGATAATACCTTTCAGTATGCTAGAAGTGGTTGTATGTACACAGTTTGTTTATATTTGAACTATTTGGAGGCTGACTGAATGTTTTGTCTCATAGATTTTACTTTCCTTACTGGTATTGTAATGGCAGCAACAGAACCTATCGGCATGGGATATCTCGAGGTGCTGAAGCTCCTCTTCTTGACGACTTTGTCATGGCCTACCTTTTTGCTCAGGTATCATTATGTTATCTTACTTGTGTATGTGTTAAATGATAAGAATCTTGCTGCGTAGTTTAGCTCTTCATCAGGAAAATCTTCATATATGGGAAAATTGATGTTCTGTCTTGCATAGCAGGCACAGAAAGGTAACAAAGTTGAGTCTTCTTATCACTAATTTTTAATCCCATATCTTTTATGGGATTTATTTTATAATTTATTTTAAATTTATTTTATAAAGGTTTTTATTTTATATATATTTTATTTATATTTATTTATATTTATAAATATATTTATTTATATGTTATATATATATTCCTTTATAAAATAAAGGAATTTATTTTATAAAGGTTCCCTTAATTGGCCCTTTTGAATTTTTTTTTCTTTTTTAGTGTTTTAGGGCATTTTAAGGATTTCACAAAGTTTAGATTGAGTTATACAACAGGATTCATGTAGATATAAGTGTCTGGAATATAAGACAGCAAAATTTCCTCAGAAATTTTTTAAATTCCTGAACAATTTCCGACTTAATTAGTAGATAGTAAAATGTAAAGAAAGTGGGAAACTAAATAAAAAGTGAGTTACAGGGGCGCGTGGGTGGCTCAGTCGTTCAGTGTCTGCCTTCGGCTCAGGTCATGATCCCAGGGTCCTGGGATCGAGCCCTGCATTGGGCTTCCTGCTCGGCGGGGAGCCTGCTTCTCCCTCTCCCACTCCCCCTGCTTGTGTTCCCTCTCTCGCTGTGTCTCTCTCTGTCAAATAAATAAATAAAATCTTAAAAAAAAAAAAAAGTGGGTTATAGTAGTGTGTTTAGCTCCTCAGAAGAGGATGATTGAGTGTTGTTACTTGATCTGAGAATTGTGTTCCAGTTATTGGTTTATTAATACTGTTATATTAAATTTTTATAGTATATTTGAACATTTTGTAATGCTTTCTTATCTAGTACCTTAATTTAAACAGTAATTGCAATGTTCTGTCATTAAATAACTTTTGTTTTTATGTGCCACAAGACTGAGGAGCAGAAACTAAAGGAAGAAAAAAGATATTAGTGCTTTTGGGTAAAGATGTGCTCTTATTATCCCCGAGATGTCAGATTAAGGAGTTCTGAATCAGATTTGCAAAAATCTTAGGAAATTACCCCACAGATCCTCATGGCTCACGTTTCTAAGATGTCTAGGAAGATTGGTTCAGTTTGTGAGCAACACATCGATAAATATTCCTCTTCTTGGGGTATGAGAACAAGGAACTTTTTTTTTTTTATTCTGGTAAAATATACTTAATAAAAGTTACCATTTTAACCATTTTTAAGTGGACAGATTGATGGCATTAAAGTACTTTCACATTATTGTGTAACCATCACCACGATTCATCTTTAGAACATTTTTCATCTTTTTAGACTGAAACTTCATACCCGTTAAAGATTTTATTTATTTATTTATTTATTTGAGAGAGAGAATGAGAGAGAGAGCATGAGAGGGGGGAGGGTCAGAGGGAGAAGCAGACTCCCCGCCAAGCAGGGAGCCCGACGCGGGACTCGATCCCGGGACTCCGGGATCATGACCTGAGCCGAAGGCAGTCGCTTAACCAACTGAGCCACCCAGGCACCCCTTCATACCCGTTAAACAATAACTCGCCATGTCCTTCTGGCCCCTGGCAGCCACTTTTCTGCTTTCTGTCTCTGTGAATTTGCCTATTCTGGGTGCCTCACATCAGTGGAATTAGACAGCATTTGCTCCTTTGTGGCTGACATATTTCTCTTAGCATAATATCTTCAAGGTCTTCCATGTCATAGCATGTGTCAGAATTTCCTCCTTTTTAAGGGTGAATAATATTCCATTGTATCTATCACATTTTGTTTATCCACTTATCTATTAACAAATACTTGAGTTGCTTCCACTTTTTGGCTCTTAATAAGAATACTGCTATGGGAGCGCCTGCGTGACTCAGTCATTAAGCATCTGCCTTCGGCTCAGGTCATGATCCCAGGATCCTGGGATCGAGTCCCGCATCGGGCTCCCTGCTCCATGGGCAGCCTGCTTCTCCCTCTCCCTCTGCCTGCCGCTCCCCCTGCTTGTGCTCTCCGTCACATAAATACAATCTTAAAAAAAAAAAAAAGAATAACGCTGCTGTGAACATGGGTATACAAACATCTCTTTAAGATCCTGCTTTCTGTTCCTTTGCATATATATCCAGAAGTGGAATTATTGGATTATTTAGTAATTCTATGTTTAATTTTTTTTGAGGAACTGCTACACTACATTCCAGCAGTGCATAAATGTTCCAGTTTCTCCACATCCTTGCCAACACTTACTTTCTGTTTTTCTGATGATAACCATTCTGTGGAGTGTGGAGTGATACCTTGCTGTGGTTTTGATTTGCATTTCCCTAATGATTACTGCTGTTGAACATTTTTCTTAAGCTTTTTGGCCATTTGTATATCTTCTTTGGGGAAATTTCTGTGTATGGCTTTTGCCCATTTTTTAAATTAGGTTGTTGTTAAGTTGTAAGTGTTCTTTATGCCTGGGTATTAACCCCCTGTCAGCTATATGACATATTTTCTCCCATTCTGTCAGTTGCCTTTCACATCTGTTGATGTGTCCCGTGATGTCCAGAGGTTTTTAATTTTGATGTAATCTGATTTGTTTCTTTTTTCTTTTGTTTACCTGTGCTTTTGGTGTCATATCCAAGAAGTCATTACTAAATCCAATATCACGAAGCTTTCCCCCTGTGTTTTCTTATAAGTGTTTTATTGTTTTAGCTCTTATGTTTACATCTTTGGTCCATTTTGAGTTAATTTTTGTTGATGTTGGAAGGTAAGGCCCAATTTCATTCTTTTGAATGTGGATATCCAGTTTTTCCAGCATCATTTGTTGAAAATTCTGTCCTTTCTCTTTTGAGTGGTCCTGGTGCTCTTGTCAAAAATAGTTTGACCACCACCCAACTTTTATATAGCTTCCTTTGTTTCAGTAGTCATTAGGAAAAGAGAGCGATAGGCTTTTGAGAATAGATACTATGAGGTTATGACTTTCTGATGCCTTTATGATTATATTATCCGTGCTGCAGAACTGGTTTTATTTTGGTGGCATGCTAGTTTAAATCCCATTAATAAGACAGTTTTCCTAAACTGTTCAACTGCTTTACCCTAATACTGTGATATCTAATACTTTTGATCTAGAAAAAATATGGATGATTTCTAATTTTGTCTTCCTAGGAAGGATTTTCTCATATAGGACAGCAAAATAATTTCACAATAGAATCCTAAATTGTGTCTAGATAATATCCCACATGTAATTTTTCTATTTCTTAATGTTTCTATTTCTCTAAACCTGTGCCCAGAAAATACGTAAGGTAGTAATTAACTTACCCAGATTATATTGATATCAGGATGGATTATATGCATTTTAATAGACTAAAGAAAACATGTTTGACCAGTGACATCATCAGAGTATAAGATTATGTTGATATTTTTAAATAACTAAAAAATAGTTCAGCCACTAAATTATGAAGTATGTTAAGACACTACTATAGAAAGATGGATTTGGGAAAGGTAAGCCAATAAAAGCCAAAAGTTAGATGTCCTTTTAAATTCATTTTCTTCTGAGGATTGCCTTGATACCATCAAATACGGTGACTCAGCAAATAATTTGCTGCCATGTGAACAGTCTTTAATGAATTTATATATATTTGGCAAAAAAATGTATATTCACTCCATATTGTTTCTTGGTTCGTTTATGATTTTGTGACTATAACTGTTTTCTTATTTTTCTGGGTGAATGCAGATAAAATTTTTTGGTTCAAATGTCAGCTACCCAAATGAAAAACTATTTAAAAATTTTTTTTTAAATTCAGTTATCCAACATGTAGTACATCATTAGTTTTTGATATAATACTCAATGATTCATTAGTTGCATATAATGCCCAGTGCTCATCACAGCACGTGCCCTCCTTAATGCCCATCGCCCAGTTACCCCATCCCCCCACCTACCTCCTGGAGACTCTTGACTCCAGAAAACTACTTTTCTACAGTTATGTTTAAAGGAAATTTTTATTGGTACACACTGCATTTTTTAAGGAAGTTTAAAAATAGTTTAAAGTAGTATGCTTTGGTATTTGGGACTCTATTTCTATTGTGATTTTTCTGTAATGGGCATTTGGTTGATTATGTTCTTAGTGCTGTTCTTAATGGTTTTTCCTATCTTTATTGTCTTTTGGGTATAAATTCCACAGAATATCTTCATGAACATAATTTATTATACTCTGGTCCTATATAGAATGTGGAACAAAAGCAAGGTTTAAAAAGAATCTACCTAATAATTAGTTACCTTTTTTAAAAAGTTTAAATTCAGTTAATTAACATATAATGTATTATTTGTTTTGGGGATACAGGTCTGTGATTCATCAGTCTTATATAATACCGAGTGCTCATTACAACACATACTCTCCCCAGTGTCCATCACCCAGTTACCCCATCCCCTGACCCACCTCCCTTCCAGCAATCCTCAATTTGTTTCCTGAGATTAAGAGTCTCTTATGGTTTGTCTCCCTCTCTGGTTTCATCTTGTTTCATTTTTCCCTCTCTTCCCCTATGATCCTCTGCCTGCTTTCTCAAATTCCACATACCAGTGAGATCATATGATAATTGCCTTTCTCTGATTGACTTACTGGCTTCTAGTTTCATCCACATCGTTGCAAATGGGAAGATTTCATTTTTTTGGTGGCTGAGTAATATTCCATTGTATATACATACCACATCTTCTTTACCCATTCATCTGCTGATGGACGTCTAGGCTCTTTCCATAGTTTGGCTATTGTGGACATTGCTGCTATAAGCATTGGGGTGCAGGTGCCCCTTCGGATCACTACATTTGTATCTTTGGAGTAAATGCCCAGTAGTGCAATTGATGGGTCATAGGGTAGCTCTGTTTTCAACTTTTTGAGGAACCTCCATACTGTTTTCCAGAGTTAGCCATCAGTTATCTTAATTAGAATAATTTACTTGCCCATTTCTAAAAGTGTGGTGAGATAAGTGTTAGCAAAACAAAATCTAACTCCTTCCCTGAATTAACTTTGTGTTACCAATATTAGGCTTTTGTTTTGGTGAATACTGGTTATTTCATGGTTTATGCCTTTTAAATAATATGGGTTTTTTTGTACTAAAATGCCTTCTAATTTATTAATAGGAAGTTGAACAAATATACTTTTAATTGTGTATTTATTTCTTTTAATAAAATTATTTTTATTTTTTTATTTTTTAAAAGATTTTATTTATTTGAGAGAGAGAGATAGCATGAGCAGGGGGTGGGCAGAGGGTGAAGGAGAAGCAGACTCCCTGCTGAGCAGCATGGGGCTCGATCCCAGGACCCTGAGATCATGACCTGAGCTGAAGGCAGAGGCTTAACAGACTGAGCCACCCAGGTGCCCCTATTTTTTTTTAATGAAATTATTTTTGAAGAATTTGTGTTAGACTTTAATTTCATGAGATAAGTTATCACATTTATTACATAAAATAAAGAGAGTGGCCCTATATTTCTCTTATCCAGTTTAAAACCTTGGTTAAGGGGCACCTGAGTGGTTCAGGTGGTTAAGCGTCTGCCTTGGGCTCATGTCATGATCCCAGAGTCCTGGGATTGAGCCCCACAGTGGGCTCCCTGCTCAGCGGGGAGTCTACTTCTCCTCCCTCTGTCCCTTCCCCCCAGCTTGTGCTCTTTCTTTCTCTCTCTCAAATAAATAAATAAAATCTTTAAAAAAAATAATAAAACCTTGGTTAAATACTGGTATTTCAGCTAATATTTTAGTTCTCACCTTTCTTTTCAAGAAAATTGCTATTTTTTAGAATATTGGTCATTTTTCTGTTTGCCTTTCCTTTCTCCCATTACACATTCAGTCTCATTTCCATATTCCTAAATCATCTAGACCAAAATCTTGAAATTTCTATTATTTCTTTTTCTTCATTTTTATATATAATGATAAAGTTATGTTTTTTTCAGACTCTTTTAGTGTCTTCTGTTCCCTACATCAGATCCTTATTATTTCATATCTGAACCATTACAGCAGCCTCTTAATGAGTCTCACTGGATATACTTTATTTTCTTAAAGCACTTTCATCACTGATACTTCTACCAGTGGAAGAGACATGATGCTTTAAGAGAAGGTACTCTGAGAAACTAATGCTTTAAGAAAATGGTTGCCTGTTGCTTTTTAGGATCAAGTCATTCAAGAGTACCTACATTTTGACCCCAACTTATTTTCCCAAATTTTATTTTATTTTATTTTTTTAAGATTTTATTTATTTATTTGAGAGAGAGACAGAGTAAGAGAGAGCACAAGCAGGGGGAGTGGCAGGCAGAGGGAGAAGCAGGCTTCCTGCTAAGCAGGCTTCCAACTGAGCAGGGAACCCAATGCAGAGCTCGATCCCAGGACCCTGGGATCATGACCTGAGCCTAAGGCAGACGCTTAACCGACTGAGCCACCCAGGCACCCCCTTTTCCAAGTTTTAATCCACATTATTCCCTTACTTAAATCGTCTGCCCAATCAAACTAGTTTGCATCTCTGAATATGCCTTATGCTTTGTTTTTGTATCATTCCTTCTATCATCCTGTTTTGTGTCCATCAGAAATTTCTTGAAGTTTTGAATTTTCCATAAAACCTTCCCTGGTTATGTCAACTGGATATAGTTTCAACTTCTTTTAAATTCCTGAAGCATCTGTTGTGTGGCACTTAGTATAGAGTATCTGCATTACAATATTTTGTTTACATGTTTAGCTTCCCTGCTAGATTTTAGTCTTCTTGAGGGTTGAAGCTCATCTTATATTTTTCTATATCTCACACAGTCCTACTTAGTATAATGCTTTGAACATATTTGGAACTAGGTACTTAATTAGCTAATATCTATTTTAATTTAGGTAATCTTTATGTAGAAGGTATAATTTGAAGATACCAGCAGTGTTGACATCATATGTACTATATAATGGGGAACACAGTCTAATAAATCAGTTTCCATTGACAAAAAAATTTTCACTATAATTTTATGGCAAAATAACTGAAAATCAGTGGAGTTGACGTTCTTTTTAAATGCATATGTTGTAGAAATTATAGGTTAAAATATAATAGATTAAAATGTGATAGTGAAATTTAAGAGGTACTTCCTTCTAAATTTTTTTCCTATAGTGGCGGCATGATTTTTTACATGGATGGATAAAAATACCCGTGACCCATGAAACACAGGAAGAATGTCTTGGAATGGCTGTGTTAGATATGATGAGACTAGCCAAAGAGAAGGATCAAACCCCACTGGACATCTATAGCTCTATCAGGTAGTTTCCTTATGCAAATCCATATAAATAAATGTGAACAGTTGGAGTTTTTCTGTAATTAATTGTACTTTCTGTATCAAATCTTTTTGATTTTATAATAATTAAAAGTCATATGGGTAAATTTTCTTCCTTGTATACAACACATACTTTGTGAGATAAATTTATTTTTTCTTTATTTCTTCCAGTTTTATTGAGATATAATTGTCATATAGCACTGTATAAGTTTAAGGTGTACAGCATCACAGTTTGACTTACATATGTTTGTGAAATAATTACCAAAATAAGTTTAGTTAATATCCATCATCTCATATAGTTAACAAAAAAAAGAGAAAGAAAAAGAAACAGCAGTGTTACCTATAGTGATCATATTGTATGTTATATCCTTAGTACTGATTTATCTTAGAATTTAAAAAAATATTGAAAGAGTTGGAGTACTACAGAAAGTATCAATGATGTTTGATACTTACTAATTATTTGATTCATTTATTCTAAAAAGAGTAAGTAAAGTTAGGGGAATGAAAAGAACACCTGTAGGCATAATTTCTGATAGATCCTCAAGTTGTCTTTATAAATACATCTGAAGCAGTATTTCTCAAATATTGGCCAATAGTTTACTTGAATTAGTATCACCTGAAGTTGAAGTGCCTGTTAAAACTGAAGATTTCTGAGTGCTACCCAAGAGTTTTGATTCAGTAAATCTTAGGGGAAGCCCACAAATACAAATCTTCACAAGTTCTCCGGGGAATTTTCCTAAAATTTTCTGCTTTTTTGAAGTGGACAAGGTTATGAGCACTCAGAAACCATGCAAGGGTATTAAGCAATGGTGAAATGATTAGATTTGTGATTTTAAAAGATCTCCCTGAGTCCAGTGTAGAAAACAAAATCAGACAGTGGTAAGAGTAAAGGGGAATGCCAGTTGCCCAGAGACTAAGGCCATTACAGTATTTTCCTCCAGGAGATGCGGTTACTAATGAGTTAGTAATGAGAAAAATGGGCAACTAAGAGAAGTATTTAGAAGGTAAACTCATGGAAACGTGGTGATGAATGGAATAATGGGAATCAAAGGGGAAGGCGGCCTCAAGGATGATTCCTGGGTCATGGGTGAATTGCAGTGCTCTTTACTTAGATAGGAAATGCTATAAGAGGGTCTTTTAGGGGAGGACGTGGGAAGGACTTGTGAGTTTGGTTTGACACATTGTTTAAGGAGCTTTTGAGACATTTAAATTAAATGTATTGATTGACTTGCCTATGGAAGATTAGGGTATGGAGTGTAGAGGTAAGTGCTGGAGACAGATACCAGAGTCCTTTGCATCTAGGGAACCTAGAGAGAAAGAGTATAAATAAGAAGAGAGGAGGGCCTCAAGTCTTGAGGAACTTCAACCTTAATCACCAGGTGGGAGTGAACCTGAAAAGAAGATTGAGAAGTATCCCAAGAGACAGGAATAAAGCGAGGAAAGCTAAGGGGAGAAAATTGAAGGAGAGAATGATCAGCAGTGTTGGATGCTGCTGAAGAATGACAAGGGAGATGAATATGGGAATTTGGTTTTAGCAACGTGAAAGTCTTTCTTGATTTTTAGCAAAAGCATTTTCTGTGGAATGATGGAGCAGAAGCTAGACTGGAGTGAATTGAAGCGTAAATGGAAATGGCTGTATAAACTCTGTCAAAATTAGGCCAGAATGGCTGTAGCTGAAGGGATATGTGGGACAAAGAAATTTTACATTTAAGGTGGGACGAACGTTAGTGTTTTGTGGTTCGAAGAGAAACAAAAGTCCCCAGAGGGTGAATGTATATTAGAGGAAGAAAGAGACTATAGGTACATACGTGTCCAGGAAGTGGCTTTACCTCACTGGTTTATACCTCATTTGTTGTCACAGGTGGGGAGGAGGAGGGAATGGGTGCAGATGTATGTAGATTTGCCAGCATAATGTGGAGGGAGCTCTGCTTAGAGAAGCTCTTTTTTCCCCCCAAAGAAAGAGATGAAGTCATTTGCTGAACGTAAGGAGGAATACAGCTGAGGTTTGAGGCAGAAGAAAGGTAGTAGGCAGTTTGAGAAAATTGGAGAGGGTTTGACATAGTTGTGGAACTTGGGAGAATTAGTTGAGCAGAGAAGTGTTGTAAAATGGATGGTCGTGCTGAAAGCGTGTTTGAAATTGGTGATTATGAATTTATACTGCCCTGTCTACCTTGCCAAATGACTCTCCAGCAGCTCTGTACTTGAGTACAAAACTGAGTGTTCGTCAGCGGGGTTCAGGCAGAGTAGGGAAGGGAAGAAGCGGTGGTGCACTAGTAAATGCGTAACAACCAGTTCTCAAAAAAACCCCAAAGATGTGATTTGTTTGTCATCTTTGCTGACGTCCATGGTATAAATCCTGCCTATGGCCAGTTTCAGGGTATCAACCTGATGTGCCTGAATGTAGAATTGGGAAGAGATGAGCAATAGCAAATCTTTTTCACCACTCATGTACGAGAGATGTAAACAGCCTCAAAAGCATAGGAAGCAGTAAAATGTAAAAATTTAAAATGTAAAATAATTAGGAAGTGATACATTTTGAGTATTACCTATATTTTTACTATGATTTATTTGTAACTTTATAGAACTTAAATTTTAATGACAGCTCTTTAGCAAACAACTACATAGTCTTAAAATGTAAGCTCTCAGCATGAGCCAGCCAGAGCACTAGCTATAAATACTCAGATACAGGATAGAGTGAGAAGTGATACTATGGAGTGGTGCACAGAATACTATCAGACAAAGGGAGAGGAACATCTAACAGTCATAGAGAAAGGTTGCCTGGATTTGATGATCCTTGAGCTGAGACTTTTGGAGTGAGTTAGAGCTAACCAGATAGGGAAATGGATGATGGGAAGAAGGATTAGCCTAGGTGAAGGCATGGAAATTTAATGCAGTTGTACCTTCAGAAATAAAATGCTCTTCATTGGTCAGATATTTGAACAGGGGGGACGTTATCTCTCTTCTTTAGGATATTTTACATAGAGATAGAGGTACAAAAGTGTCAGAACATTTCTAAGTAGAATTGTTTTGATGGCAAAGGAATTATTAGGAGTTAGTGAAAAAGGCCAGAAAATAATGTATACAAAAGGAGTATGTTTGCATAATGAACAACTGTAGCATCCAACAAAGTGTAACAGTTTCCAGAATTCAGGTAAATTTTGGTGTACAGCATCATAGGAAATATTTGCAACACGGTGTTGCAAAAAATGATGTATAAGATAATCAGAGAAAACAAATTTTTAGAGACTCCATTATTAGCTAGACTAAGTCTTCATTTCATTAGGGGAAGAAGATTAACATACCCTATTCTAAACATTTATGGTAACTCAGAGAATTTTTATATGTATTTCCATCATCTGACGAAACCTTAATATTGTACACGTGGTGGCTGCGTCACCTTTCTCCACTTGACGTCTGTGCTGCGGCACTTACCTGTCGTGGAGAAAGGTGGTAATTTCTCTTTCAGTGTCGTTTTAGATTTACCTTCCAATTTGTTTTGTTTTTCTGTGTGTGCTCTTTATCCCTAGCTACAAGACATTCTTACCAAAATGTGTTCGAGCAAAGATCCAAGACTATCATATTTTGACAAGGAAACGAATAAGGTACAGATTTCGCAGATTTATTGAGCAATTCAGCCATTGCAAAGCCACTGCCAGAAACTTGAAACTTAAGTATCTTATAAATCTGGAAACTCTTCAGTCTGCCTTCTACACAGAGCAGTTTGAAGTAAAAGAACCTGGAAGAGGGCCTTCAGGTGAGGAGATTTTTGCAACCATTATAATAACTGGAAACGGTGGAATTCAGTGGTCAAGAGGGAAACATAAAGAAAGTGAGACTCTGACAGAACAGGTAATCCTTCACGGTATGTTCTCATTCTTTGTTAGTCTAAGTGAATGGCACTAGAAGCAGAGTAATTTCACTCATTGGAAACATGGTCTTGCAGTTCTCTTCTCTCACTGATCGAAGTGGAAGTTTTTATAGTGTGACACCATCAAAGTCGTATCTATAATTCTTTTCTCATTGTTCTTAAGTGGTTTTTTATTTAGTTTTTTTATGACAAACGTTAGTAATGGTTCTTACAGTTTTCAAAAAGTCTTGAATTCCTAAAGTGATTTTAAGGTAGTTTTGCCTCTTTTTATAATTTTGCTGTCATTGATAATAGGCACAATCATAAAATTTAATTAGAAAAGGTTAATTTTAATTGATTTTATGATGATGTATAGTTAGTTTTTCTAAGTTTTGCACTATAAGTTTTAAGTTTGTTCATATCTATGTTCTTAGATCCTTATTAGAGATTTGTCTTTACCTTCATTCTTTGGTGGTTAAACTTTCAGTTTTCTGACAATGGTTCCACTTGATGTTGATTGGATTGAAGGGAACTGTAGCATAATGAGATTCCTGTAACATTTTAATGATCTCATTTTTAAGTCAAAGCAAGATATGGTTAAGTCTTAGGGTTACGTTATTGAGGGAGAGAATCCCATTTGGTTACTATCAGTACTTTTTTATTTTAAAGAATTTGGAATGAATGTTATGTCCTTCCTAAGTTTTGTTTTAAAATGGCTCCCTTAGTTTTACCTGTTTTTAATTTCAAATGCTCTTCATTATAGGATTTACAGTTATATTGTGACTTTCCTGATATTATTGATGTTACTATTAAGCAAGCAAGCCAAGAAGGCTCAAATGAAAGTAGAATTGTAACTATCCATAAGCAAGATGGTAAAAATCTGGTAAGTCTGCTTTATAACCAAATAATGATTATGTTTGTTGTCAGAAATAAGTATTTTAGAATCTTAATACCAAAGTTATTTTCTCCTAGGAATTCTGATTATAGTTTTAAGTATAACTCTAAACATAAACATCAATTTAGTAAGGTTTTGTTTACATCTAACTTTTGTATCACTACCAACACTATCTTTCCAGAGTTTCTCGAACATTAATGTATTTTTCACTCATTTTTATGATTAGCAAGGCAACAGTTACTCCACCCAACCCCCTCTGCCCCCACTCTGGGTTGTGCTAATTCCCTGTCATAATGCTCATTCCAGACTTTATTCTTTCTTTTTTTTTTTTTTTTACCAGTAGGGATGTGCGTAATGCCAGTCATACTGCCTAATTAAAGGAGAAAAAGAATTCAAAACAGTGCTTTCTGGGATTCACGTAACAGTGTAAACCAATCCCAGGTTAGCCCTACCCAAGCTGAAACACATGATTGGTTCTAAAAGATTAATTCTTTCTCTTTCTTTGATTAGCTTCAGAAAACCCACTTATTTTTTATTTTTTAATTTTTTTAATGTCAAATACAATATTATATTAGTTTCAGATGTACATCATGATTTGACAGTTCTATACTTTACACAGTGCTCACCGTGGTAAGTGGTTAGAAATCCCATTTATTTTAATTGAAAGGGAAGAAGTAAATTCCTTTAATACTCTTCTCTAAAATTGCTTACTTATGTGACTGTTTTCTTTTTAACTCCGGTATTTTTTGACCTCCTGGCTTAAACGGCACATTAATGTTATGTGTTCATTTAACTTCAATATTTGTATGACCTCTGCCTATCTATTTTAGGGTTATATTTACTAAAATTATAACTAACTTGTAATTCACTTTAGTCAGCATACTTTCCTATTCTTAGATAAAAATATGTAAATAGTGTACAGTTACTACCTGCTAGACCATGAGCTTCTTGATTGTCGGGATCATTTTGGGGTATGTGTTTTTACCCTCTGCACCTGGCATAGTACTCCAGGCCCTACTTTAGAAAGAGCTTGATAGGTATTTCATGGATCAGTGAAACGGTGATTAATAATTTTCAACTGCAATGTGGAATTAATAGAAGAAATATTTGTTCTGTAAATATCAAAATTACACATGTGTATTGTATAAACACACCTAAATATTTATAGGCATACCTTGGCTATTTTGTGGATTCAGTTCTAGACCACCACAATAAAGCAAATATTGCAATAAAGCGAGTCAAAGGAATTTTTTTGTTTCCCAGTGCATATAAAAGTTATGTTTACACTATACTGTAATCTATTAAGTATGCAATAGCATTATGTCTAAAAAAAACAATATATATACCTTAATTAAAAATACTTTATCGCTAAGAAATGCTAACCATCATCTGAACTTTCAGTGAGTTATAATCTTTTTGCTGGTGGAGTGTCTTGTCTCAGTGTTAATGGCTGCTGACTGATCAGGGTGCTGTTTGCTGAGGCTATGGCAATTTCTTAAAATAAGGCAAAAATGAAGTTTGCCATGTCAGCTGACTCTTCCATTGACAAGTGATTTCTCTGTAGCATGTAATGCTGCTTGATAGCATTTTACCCCCAGTAGAATTTCTTTCAAAATTGGAGTCAATCCTCTCAAACCAAGTTGCTGCTCTAGCAGCTAAGTTGATGTAATATTCTAAATCCTTTTTTGTTATTTCAATAGTCTTCACAATATTTTCACCACGAGTAGCTTCCATTTCAAAAAACCACTTTCTTTGCTCATCCATAAGAAGCAACTCCTTATCCATTCAAGTTATATCAGGAGATTGCAGCCACATTTTTAAAAAATTTTTAATTTTTTTAAAAGATTTTATTTATTTGAGAGAGAGAGAAAAAGGGAGAGAAAAAGAGAGCTAGAGCACATGTGTGCGATCGAGGGTGGGGGAGAAAGAGAGGCAGAGAATCCAAGCAGACTGCTCACCGAGCACGGAGCCCAATGCGGGGCTCAATCCCAGGACCCATGAGATCATGACCTGAGCTGAAATCATGAGTCAGATGCTCAACTAATTGAGCCACCCAAGTGCCCTACACTTTCAGCCTCCGCTTCTAATTCTCTTTGCTATTTCCACCACTTCTGAGATTACTTCTGCCCCTGAAGTTTCGAACACCTCAAAGTCGTCTGTGAGGGTTGGAATCAACTTCTTCCAAACTCTTCATGTTGATATTTTGACCTCTTCCCATGAACACAAATGTTCTGATTGGCATCTGGAATGGTGACTCCTTTCTGGAAGGTTTTCAGTGATGGCCCAGACCTGGCAGAGGAATACTATCTGTGGCAGCTATAGCCTTAAGAAATGTATTTCTTAAATAACAAGTCTTGAATATTGAAATGACTCTTTGATCCACAGGCTGCTGAATGGATGTTGTGTTAGTAGGCATAAAAACATTAATCTCATTGTTCATCTCCCAAGACAGTAGTGAGCAAATGCTGTTGGAAAAGTGGCGCCAATAGACTTGCTTTTGATGCAGGGTTGTCACAGACCTTCAATGGTTAAAAAAAAAAAAAAAGGCAATATCTGAGATATTCAATAAAGTGAAGTGCACTGAAACAGGGTATGTCTTCATTCTGTAAATGTGGTATTTATAAAAGAGTAAGTATTTCTAGAAGAGTTCATGGATGCTTATGTGAACATCCTGTAGTAACATAAAGAACTTATTTATGGGATGGTATTGGAACCTGTTGGCTTTATTTTTAAGTCTGCAACAGAGAGGTTAAGTAACTTTCCAAGGTCATAGTGTTAGCTAAGTGATAGGGTCTATGTAAACCCAAATGGATGATTTGACAACTTAAGCCCATCAGTGTGGCATTGCCTTCTTTGTTGAGTAGTCCTAAAGCTCCTCGAAGTATTACATTTACATTTTGTTAGAATTGCTCTAAAGATTAATTTGGGAAGAATGGCTATTTCTTTACCATATTACATTTTCTATTTAAGGGGTACACTGTATTTCTCCTTGTATCCAAGTATTATTTTATGTTTTTCAGTAACTTGGTTTTATTCATACTGCTACAGCATGTTTCTTGTTGAATTTTAATCATGATATATTATGCTTTTTCTGTTACTTAGTAGGATTAAGAACCTTTTCTCAATATATATTTTTCTAAAATTATTGCTAGATATGAGAAATAAATTTTTGCTTATTATTTCATTTTTCCAGTCTGTTATATATTAGTTACACTTTTTTTTTAAACCATCCTTTTTACTCTGACATTTTTCTTTATCTTTCTTTTTTTCTTTTAAAAAAATGTGGTAAAATACACTTCATAAAATTTAGCATCTTGATTTAGCTATTCCACTCTTGGGTATATATCCAAAGGAAACAGAATCGCTACTCAAAGAGATATTTGTACCCCCATGTTCATTGCAGCATCCTTGGATGTTACCAATTTTTAAATATTTTGCCAAACTGCTGGGACAAAAATTGCTACCCTGTGTTATATTTCATTTCCTTAATTAGAACCTGAGTTGGAAAAATTTCTCATGTGTTTACAAGCCAGCTGTTTGTATCTCTCTTCAGTGGATTGTTTTCCCATATCCTTTGATTTTTTTCTTTCTGTTTCTAATTGATCTATGGCTTTTCTTCTCAATATATAATGAGTATTAGTCCTTTGGTGTACAGATTTGCAATTCCCCAGTCTTTTAAGATTGTTTATGGTATCCTTTTTAGTACCTATTTTTTAAATTTTTTTTAGTTTTTGCGAGAGAGAGAGAGAGCTTGAGCAGGGGTGGGGAGGGGCAGAGGGAGAAGGAGAAAATCATTTTTCTTTTAATTTTATTTTATTCTGTTATGTTAATCAGCATACATTACATCATTAGTTTTTGATGTAGTGTTCCATGATTCATTGTTTGCATATAACACCCAGTGCTCCATTCATTATGTGCCCTCCTTAATACCCATCACCAGGCTAACCCATCCCCCCACTCCCTTCCCCTTCCGTCTAGAAACCTCAGTTTATTTCTTGAGTCCACAGTCTCTCATGGTTCAACTCTCCCTCCGATTTCCCCCGCTTCATTTTCCCCTTCCTACTATCTTCTTTTTTTTTCTTTTTTTAAACATATAATGTATTGTTTCAGAGGTACAGGTCTGTGATTCATCAGTCTTACACAATTCACAGCACTCACCATAGTACATACCCTCCCCAATGTCTATCACCCAGCCACCCCATCCCTCCCCCCCCCCACCACTCCAGCAACCCTCAGTTTGTTTCCT